CCTTGGAAACAATCATATAGTTTTATCCTGGTTCTTCTTTTTGCTTCTGTTCAGTGTTGTTCTACCCGTTTTTATGTTTGTTCCAGGCCAAACCATATAGGAATTTCCCAAGTCTCAGGCTTCCTTAACTGAATCTAGATTCCCCTTCTTACTATGATGAGAAAGAATTTAGCTACCATCTTCATACTAATAATATTTTTTTCCTAAGCTAGTAGTCCTTCCTAAGTGCCTCGCTGACATTTCAAACTATGTGAGATGAAGATGTCTGTTTCTTTACTTTACTCTTCCTCCTGCTTACATTTGTGCTTTCACTGGAAATACTGTTCTCTTCTGAAGATCCTGCTTATTTGCTGAATGACACTTTTTTCCAATCTCAACCTTCTGCTAAAGATCTCACCTCATTTTTGAACCTCAAACTTTCTTTCTTTAGAGTATCTTTTTCCACATATGTGATGAAGGTGGCCTGTTACACAGAACAGCCAATTTAACTTAATTACACTATTTTCCTATTCTTATAACTTTGTTTTAATCAGAATATGTACTGGTACACATACTACTACTTAAGGATGAGAATGCCATACTTTGTAAACTGATCCAGCTTTATCAAGAGATATGGGGATTCTTACAGTCATACCTTTCTTATATTTTAAATATAAAACATAAACGTTTGTTCCAGAGCAGCCTTTCATTGACTGTTTAATTTGAGATGTGAAGGCCCAGAAAAATAAAAAGGAAGGAGAGAGGAAAATAGAGCTTGGGCAGAATATTTTCCTGAGGATGTTTCCCTCATTTTTTCCTGTAGAAAAATAGGAAGTTATGGAGAAACAAAACACCTTTGAAATATTTCTGGTTTTAGAATGGGTAGCATTATTTTTAATTTAAGATGTTATTAACTGAAAATATGTAGTATGAAGGGACACAGAGAACTTTCACTAATTGTGAATTGCTGCTTGCTTTTCATTTGGTGACCTAGTCTTTACTACTTAAGCCCCCCCCCCCCAAATTTTCACACTGTAGATAGTAAAATACATGCTAGCATAGAATGCATCAGTCTAAAACTCTCTTTCTGGAACTGACTTTATATGCAATTCCATTTGGGCAAGACACAGGCACTTATGCTGAGCATAAGTTCCATTAAATGCTTTTGCTCTGAGCACCAATGGTAGTGCAAACAGGCTGAAGTATGTTCCTAAGAGGTTGGGATGAGGGGGAACCACTGTATAAAATTCTTTTATATATTCTGGTGACCTATGCAGCCTTAACGTCACCTGTATCCAGCCAAAACTTATTTATAGCTATAAATTATAGGAGAGATACAGAATGGAAAAGCTTATTTTTATTTCTCACTGAAAAGTCCCAGGATATTGAGAACAAAAACTGGTATAGATGATTGTTCCCTAGTTGTTTTAGCTTCTTTTCTTCTACTTTATTCAATCTATAAATAACCTAAGCTAAAACCATAATCTTCACTTATAATGTCCCTTAGTTTTAATCTCTGCCCTGCTCTTCTTTTAGTCCACAGTTCCTTCTCTGACTATATCATGTACTTTTATTCCCCATTTTACTTTTAACTGGATTTGATTTAATTAGCTATTTCAGAGACTTTACAGTATCTGAGAAATTCTACAAATACTGGATAATTTTATAAAGAAGCATGGAGCCAATTTGAACAGCAGCAAGATTTCACTACAGGTAGTCCTCGCTATCCGACAACAATTGGGACCAGAATTTAGGTTGCTAAACGATGTGGTCCCTAAGCAAATCATCATGTGACCACTTCACTTAGGGACCGCAATTCCAGCACTCCCAGCTGCTGTCTTTCAGCAAGAATTGTGGGTTGTTAAGGGGACAGAGTCCCAGGTAAGCAGTGCAGGGATGCCACAGGGGTGGGGGAGGCAGAAAGCCACAGCCACCCCTGCAAGCCTTGGTTACCCCAGCAGTGCTTCCGACTGCAGGGGCACTGTAATCTCCCCCCCCCCCCCCCTATGCCCTTTTGGCTGCCCTGCACAGCAGCACTCATCAGCAGCAGCACCGGGGCTGGGGCTGAAGTAGAGGCCTGGGGCCCTCCGCAGTCTCAACCAGCCGCCACTGCCTCCCCGCCCTGTCTTCAGCCTCAGCGGCCCTGCTGCGGCTGCAAACTACCGCCGCCCCC